CGTGTTTACAAAGCAGAGTTGAAGATTGAGGATTGTACCTACAGGGTTTTGAGCACCCATGCCTGCCAGGTTGTATCCCTGCCATCGAACAAGGGTTCATTTTTACAGTCGAAAATAAAATACCAGACGGGGATACAAAACTTACGCACCACACCCAGTATGCTAGAAAGAAGGCCCGCAGACATCAATGGAAATTTATGCTAAATCCTTGATACGCTGAGTTGCTACTACGAATGTGCCGCGGCATGGAAGCGCCTCGACGAAATGATACAAAGTGTGCCGCTTACCACTGCTGTGATTCCAGTTTCGACAAGACTTGCATTCCTTTCTCTCAACGCCCAGACAGGGCCTCCGTTTTAATCGCCGCACATAACATGAAAATTTCTACAACTGCCGAGCAATGACAGATAACAAAGCATACCAGTGCAAGAAGGCTCAAATCTGTGGTAGATGTGCGAACGAAGGTCACCACCACAGCATCTGTACGTCAGCAATCCCGAAGTGTATACCATGTGGTGGACATCACGAGTCATTCAGTAAAACTGCCGGATACTTTACCCTCATAGACCGAATAAGCCGCTCCGACTTATTCAGCTAAATGTGCGGAAACGAGGCGAGGTGCACGACAGCTTGATGATGATGAGGATATTCGAGATGCAGCAGTAGTAGCGATTCAAGAATCACAGGCGCGGATGATAAAGGGTCGGTTACTGACTACTCCGATGGCTCACCACAAGTGGACAAAGATGGTACCGTCAACTTGGAAGGAGAAAGGTAGAGCATAGAGACGCAAAAGCGCGTGAGACTCAAGAAATTTTACTAGAACAAGAAATGCATAACACAACGAGAACACGCTATATAGTCGGGTTTTGTCGTTCCTTCTGGTACCAGGCAGGATTCAATAAAGTTTGGTTGCTGCTCCGAAGTCACTGTGGAGCTCCGCTCCCACGGCCATGTCCCCCATTAGTACATGAACGTTGATTGGCTTTAGTCCCGCTAGCTCAAGAAACGCGGCGCCGGGATACCGGAGTTCTGACCAGTTATCGAATCAGCCAGCCCCCGTCGCAAGTAACCCCGTATATCAAGTGTCCATAAAATTGATCTTATCAAGCGAATGTTTGCGAGGGGTTTGGGAGGAGGGGGTTTGCGGCTGTGTCGGCTGATTCGAAATCAGAAAATGCAAGCCTGCTATCGATGGCACTGACTCAACTTCCCGCATTGTGGGCAGGTGAGTTAGCGGAGTTCCAATATCAGCCCACCTAGAAGCAAGCTCATAGACTGGAAGTTTGGCATCCACTGCCCGTGATCGCTACCTGGCGGGCGGAATTCCGGCAGGTGGTCTTTAGACAGGCGTCCAACCCGTCAGCAATACGAGGCGAACCTCCACTGCAAGCCAAGGACTCGCTACGTTGGGAAGCTCGAGCGGCATGATTTCGGGGAGTTTGTGCCTGCTCTGAACCTCTCGATAACCTCCAAGCCTGTTCAAGAGCTACGCAAGTTGTCTCTGCAAGATGCGGTACAGAGAGGGGGTACCGAGCTGTCCGGGCTTTCGCACTCGCTCATATATTAGTTTTTAAGCGTGCTGGTGATCCCGTTGAATATAAGATAATACGAATGGTCTGTGGGACGCTCTTCCCTCCAACTCGACTGATGGATTTGCATCACGGCAACCGAACAAATCGCACATCGTCAAGAAGTG